CCGCAGCGTCCAAAGTACGCAACGTCCAAAATACGTCCAAAATCGGGTATATAGGGAGCATTCACAACGTCCAAAACCGAAACATCCAAACCGCAACATCCAAAACGTATCATCCAAAAAAGCAACATCCAAGGACGCATCATCCAAAGAACGCAACATCCAAAGTACGCAACATCCAAAGTACGCAACATCCAAAACTTTTAGGTTAGGTTAGGTTAGGCGAGGTTAGGTTAGGTTAGGTTTCCTTATCCCCGGTAGGCATAAATCAGTAGGTTAGGTTAGGTTAGGTTAGGTTAGGTTAGGTTAGGTTAGGTTAGGTTAGGTTAGGTTTAGTTTCCTTATCCCCGGTAGGCAAAAATCAGTAGGTTAGGTTAGGCTAGGTTAGGTTGGGTTAGGGATAGGCAAAAATCAGTAGGTTAGGTTCGGTTAGGTTAGGTTAGTTAAGGTTAGGTTAGGTTAGGTTGGTTTTCGATGTTGCGTGCCTTGGATGTCGTGGTATTGGACGTTGTGGTTTTGGAGGTTACATACTTTGGATGTTGCGTCTTTGGATGTTGCGTTTTTTTGGATGATACGTTTTTGGACGTTGCAGTTTTGGATGTTTCGGTTTTGGACTTTGTGAATGCCCCCTATAAACCCGATATTGGACGTATTTTGGACGTTGCGTACTTTGGACGCTGCGGTTTTGGATGTTGCGTACTTTGGGTGCTGCGGTTTTGGACGCTTTGATACGGACCCATTTATTTACTTTCCTCAATCTAATGATACTAAAGCGCATGCTAGTTATCAATAAAAATATGGAAGCTCCTGACATTATTAGCTGCCTTTATCCTGTAAAAGAATTGAGTATCGTACATTTCGTTGTCATCGCAGCAAACAGGTACAAACAGGGGCGGTCGCAGACTTGGCGTTTCGGGGGCCAGCTTGGCAAAGGGGCCCCGCGCTGACCCGGGGGGTCAGCGCGGCCCGCGCGGGTGACTGGGTGCAGGAATCCAGCCAATGCCAGTGAAGCGGGGGGGGGGGGGGGGGTAGGGCAGGGAGCGGCACCCGAGCGGGGCTCATTGCGAACTTTGAGAGTGTACCTTGTCGAACAGGTATCGATGAGTGCATTTGGAAGCACTGATAATGTCAATAATTCACGCAACTGTGAATTGGCTGCCACAAAAAGTAAAAGCAGCTAATTTAACCCTTTTCGAAGATATCGCGCTAAAACTTTATCGGGGTTACATAAGCACAGTAAATACGTATTTAGCCGCTAATTCGAATTAGGAACGCATTACCGACTCATGTAGGGTAAGGTGCCTAATTAGCGACCCTTTCCGATTTGCGACCTACCTCCCTACAGAAAAACTGGCAGGAGAAAACGGGGTAAAAACATCGTCAAAAGGTCAGCCATACTTTGGTTATCAAATTAAATTATTTTCCGGTCGTCGATGTTTCTGGTGGGACGTTTCAGGTAAGTTTAAATAAAAATGACGAGTTTCTTATCCAAATCGTGTGTGTTTAGGCCCTCTCTAATGAAAAGCGATGCACATTAGGATGATGCACCTTTTTTATTCTGAATCTACATTCCTTTTTTAATTGATTGCCGTTTTCCCATAGTGAATCGCTCAACTGTGCACAGCATGGCGGTTAAAAATGTGTCGCAACTCATATTTCCTATTTGCGCCTGACATGGTCGCAAATAGCTCAAGAAGGGATAGAAAGGGGAAAAGAGGGAAATGAAAATGAGGTGTTGCTGAAGCTTGCAATGTGTGGCAGGGGATGCCAAATGTCGTCACCGACTGCAGGGGTGCCGAATTCAGCGCGGACCTCGAATATCAAACAAGATAGCCCGCAAAATTTGGGTTTCCGCCTTCTTTTCGCCTTCGGTGCATCACGTGATCAGTTTTTACTTACGTAAATGTGTTGGATGAAACGTTCCTGTTCGAGTGATTGAGTGCTTTGCGTATAGGTTACCTTTTCGAGATCATATTTCATCTTTTCAGGCGTCGCATTTTTTGCCATTTTTGATATGGGGAAACCCATAGACTTATTAGCGACCCTCCCCGGCCGCTAATCGGGAAGAGTTCCCTATTAGCGTTTTTTGCAATGGTTTGCCAAAATACTCACTACAAATAATTTAGTGAATATTGGGGCAGAAAATGACTATATTTTAATAGAAAAATGAACGATCTCTCCAAAAATCAAGCCAGTAACACAGTGGCACCCACAGAGCGTGAGCAATGACGGTTCAAATTAAGGGGGTCGCTAATTAGGCACCTTACCCTAGCCACCTGCTAGTACGAATCGGCGATCCGATCCGCGGTTACATGAGCAAAGCAAATACGCATCACGATCGGATTCACCGCTAATGCGAATCAGGAGCGTACTATCGACTCATGTATCCACCTGCTAATACGAATCGGCGGTCCGAACAAAATGCGCAGGGAAAGAGGCTTAGAAGCGAATAGCACCAAGATACGTATTACAGGAACTATTTCTTTCCAAAAAGAAACATTAAAATGCAAAATAATAGGTATTTTTTTTCATTTGCTTCTTTTGAAATAATTATTTAAAAAATATGTCGGTATTTTGTCAAGTTTTCAAAATAAATATAGTGAAAACCAAAAAGAAAATATCAAAGTACTTTCATTTGAAACATTTTTCTGACAGCACTACAGACGAATCAAGAGAGGCAAGTGCTCAATGAGTCAAAACAAGACAACTTTATGTTTAACTTTTTTTGTTAAGTTAATTGAGAATGTTTTGAGCAGATTAAATGCAAAAAAGACATAAAATATTAAGTTTTTGATTCAGTCACCTCTATTGCTACGGAAGTGCGCCACATTTGTATGCTATTCCGTTTGTAATGCGCATCGGGCCGAGAGCCGAACTAGATCCGTTTGACGTCACTGATACGAATTTGCTCATGTAATCGGTGCACTGAATGCGTTTTTGGGGAGCTGATGCGAATTAGCGTAGTGCGTATTTGGAACGGATCGCTCATGTAAGCGAGGAACACGATTCGGGCCGTATTTCACAAGAACTATTCTTTGCATTTTTTTATTGGCTGCCTCGTAGAAAATAGCAAAAAAAATGTTGGTATTTTGGTTTAGTCTTTGCATGTGAAATAAAATGAATGAAATATTTTGATAGATAATTTTTTTCTGCCCACCCTGCTGTCGCTGCATGGCGAATCAGTGCCCACTGACTTAAAACAAGAAAACTTTGTTTTCATTTTTTTGATTTCATGTTAATTTTAAATGTTTTTGAGCCTATCAAATGATATAAGTATTTAAAATTTAGTTCAGTCGTCCCGGTAAATGCCGCAACTGCGCCATGACTGTACGCTAATCCTATTCCGTTTGTGATACGAATTACCGGCCGTCGAGGAGTCAGCGCGGGTGAGCCAAACAAGATCCGTTTGACGTAGATAAAACGAATTAGTCTCATGTAACCGGTGCCGTAGATACGTTTGTGGGAAGCTGATGCGCATTAGCGTAGTGCGTATTTGGAACGGATCGCTCATGTAACCCCGGTACTTTTGACATTGGGTCATCAGTAGATACGTGTTCAATCACATGTGTATTGTTTCTTCTTTTTTTTTTTACTTAGGTAAGCACAAATGCGAGTAAGTAATGTAAGTCAGACCCCAAGAGGCCGGCGTTGGACCCAAGGGTCGGAGAAGGGCCTCAAAGGCCCCAGATGGGGCCCCAGAGGCTGATGTGGGCCCTCAGAGGCAAGTGTGTGACGCCCAAAGGTAAATCTTAGGCCACAGAGAACATAATAGGGTCATCAGTAGCCGGTGGGTGGTGTAGAAATCTCATAGGCCAGTTGGGGGCCTAGAGAGGCCAGTTTTGGGCCCCCTTAGAGGCTAGTGTGGGGCCTCAGATGTCGGTGTGGGGCCCTTAAAGACCGGTGTGGGTCCTCAGAAGCCAGCATCGATCCTTCAGAAGCCAGTACGGGGTCCTACTCCTAAGAGGCACATAATGGTCAGCCTTGGGTCCCAGAGACAGAAATGAGGCCACCAGAGACCGGTGTGAGACCCTCAGACCCGGTTGGGGCCCCCTGAGGCCAGTTTAGTGGCCCTCAAAGGCGATTAGAGGGCCCTCAGAGGTCGATGTGGGCTCTCAGCAGTCAATGTGGGCGATTGGCCGCCGCCGAAGGGCCCTCAGAGGTCAGTGTAGGACGCTCAAAGGCCGGTGTAGGATCGATTAATAGCTGGGCGTGGGTTTCTTGAGCTTCGTGACAATCGAATAAGGGCCAGGGCCCCATACGCTCAGGGCGGCCCATCGGTTGTTGGGGGGGGGGGGGGGAAATGATATGATGGCCCCCCTAACTTGCCTTTGGGGGCATGGCCCTGAAAGCCCCCCCCCCCCCCCCCCCCCTGCGACCGCCACTGGGTACAAAGACGTTGTTCACGCACAAACAGCAGCCATGGAAACAAAAAGAAAAACATTGCAAATCAACTGACGCTAGAAATGCGAAGAACATAAGTGTCGGCACTTTCCTAGGCCAGAAGAAGCAAGAAGATAGCGTTGAAATGTTTGCTGTTTGCCATCTATCTATCTTTAAAATTGCTATTTTCAGTCGAAAGCGCATCGCATACTGCATAGTTCGCTAAACGTTTCACGTAGCCCCACAGACACACATCAAACGTCAAGCAAGTGTTCTCTGTCGGTTATCAAGACATTCCCAGCGTGACACTTCGGACAAAGAATTTGCGGTAAGTGACTATGATGTGAATGTTTGTGGGACATCAGCAACTATTATAATGTATGGCGGACGGAGGCAGAGACCATTTGTTGGTCTCGCAGTGAGGCGAACATAAATATTACAACACCACAATTGGTCCCTGTTCTTGTGGCCTGGCACTTATTAACTTGGAGAAGATTGAGAGCCCGGGCTCGTCTCAACGTCCCTGACATCTGGTAGAGTTATTCCGTTCAGCTGGCGCCCTGCGCAAGCGCTGTATCACTGACAGCTGTCCAGAGTGAACTAAAAAATCCTTAAAACAGGGCTGTTGTTTCGTCAGCGAGACGCCGCCATTGTGTATTTAAACAGCTGCTAGTGAACTTCAATACCGTTCTTTTTCTGTCACTCTGTGTGGGGTGTGCGGCGCAGGTGGACTCTGCGCAGTATCTGGCGGCGTTTGGTCGGCCTCTAGAGCCCTGGTCTGCGAGAGCTGCGCCGGTTTGGGGCCGTGCAGCACGGGCGGCACCTCCAGCCAGCGGGCCGGGGTCGACTGCGAGCCGGGCGACTCACACGGAGAGGTGGCCGGCGCGCTGACACGGTGGCTGTAGAGACGGGTGCTGCCCACACTGCGGAGGCTCCCTGCGGACAGACGGCACGGGGAGCTGAGCGCCACCACGGCCACACGCACACAGAACAGCCAGCCGTCAATGGGCTTTGCTCGGTACGCGACATGGTGATGCCAATCTCAGACATTGCAAGCCGACCTGGGGACGCAGGAATCACTTTGAAGTTGTGGAGGCAAACCGAAGTGTGGATCTAGCTGTGCGTGTTGGGGTCAAATGACACTAAACACGTTGTTGGGTGGGGAATAGGGGGGGGGAGTAATTCAATGCTTTGTCTAAATCAGCACATTTTGGGGGACCAGATAACTAACATGGTTTCCTTTGCAACTCAATTGCACCACGTCGTACAGCTCTAGGGTGGTGTGTGTTCAATGTGTCCCTGTAATTTGAGCATTCCTAAGACCTAACAGGGTTTTCAGCTTTACTTTAATTGCCAAAGAAAGGAAATTGAAAACAATGTTATGTTTAAATACAAAGTCAAATTTCAAATTTCTTCTGTTAGGACTTAGAAATGTCGTTAAATTCCATCACTTGAATATTTTATGCGTACAAAGAATCTTAGTACGTGTAAGTTGTGGGGACAGCACCCCTACGACCCGAAATTGTGCAGGGAAAGGCTGCCCCCGCTACCCCAAGGTTCCAGAGACTATGGCTAAAACCGAACCAAAAACCAAGAAAATTCATGAGAAACACCAACACCCAAAAGATCATGGAATATGAAGGAAGATCTTTGCCTAATTTATAGTGTTTAGAATATTTGGATTCATAAAGTCAACTAACTGAGCAGAAAAAAAAATGTTTGGAATACAAAAAATCCAAACTGGTATGTAGGTACTATTTATAGTCACCGTGGTATGTACTAGACTGGTCGGTATAAATATACCGGCAAAACTTGCTCAGTCGACAGCTCAGATACGTACCTACCTAACTGTACGGTATGCGTTATTAACCCGCGCCCCGCTGGGGGGGGGGGCAGAATCTGCCCCCTCCCGTTTTTCACCAATAACTTCTAAACGCGTTACGCCAGCAACATCAAACTTTCAGTACCTTATCATACATCAATTTAAGACATTTCCTGAAAATTTGAGCGAAATCCTTCGGATTTTTTTTTTCTTCAGAAAACGACGTTTAAGTAACGTCATGTCCGCCATTTTCGCCTAAAAAAGGGCAAAATTTCAAACGCCGCTTACATCTTCATTTCTAAAGGAATCAAGACGTAAAAAAAGGTTATACGTGATTGTACTTGGTCTATCTAAATGCTATCTCATTTTTTTTAATATCGGATTTTGGCCCAAATAAAAAACTGACTTTTTTGGGAAAATAATTATAAAATCCAAAATTTTTGGGCGTATCGAAAAAAACCGGAATATCTGTCAGAGAAGTGGTATATAAGCTTCTACATACTAATTTCCAGGACAATCGGTTCAAAAATATGGGAGTTATTAAAAGTTTCATCACGTCACGACACACACAGTTTTTGAACAAATGAATTTTTGGAAGTTCTAGACCTCGTAAGAAAACAAAAATAGCATCATTCGATTTTCCGTGAAAAGCTGCATCAGATAAACACCTTTTTAGGCCTTAACCCGCGACCGCCTGGGGAGGGGGTCGGATCCGACCCCCCCTCCGTTTTTCTTGAATAACTCATGAACCACTTTCGCTATCTACTTGAAACTTGGCATACCTTCTCCTCCATCCATTTGACGTCTTCTGTGCAATTTTCAAGAAAAAAAATTCAATTTTTTTTTAGATATATCGATTTTAGTGATGTAACTACATGGCATTTTTAGTCAAAAAGTGGTAAATGTTTAAAAAATCGCCAAAAATCAGGGTTTGAAGCAAATTGCAAATTACGGACATGAAAAGACGCAGCTCAACGAGTTCTTTAAAATGGCTATCTCGGATTTTCCATAAAATGCGTTTTTTACCCCTAAAAATTCAAAAAACTATATTTTTTGGAAAACAGCTAATAAAATCCAAAATTTTGGGAATTTCCAAAAAACCGGAATATATGTTGTAGAGCTCGATTAGAACATTAGATGCCCCAAATTTCAACTTTCTATCTTGATTTTTGACCCCCAAATTGTAAAAAATAGCTCCAACATGCATAGGGCATGGTGACGTCATAAGCATTTTCGTGAATTAGAGGCACTTCTGAACATCGCATGTGAAAACAAATGGCACCACTAGATTTCTGGGACAAAGCTCGTCTAGAAAAGTGCATTTTTATGTCAAAAATAAAAAGTTGAAAAATTGACTTTTTTTCTTAGCCCTGGTTTAGTTATGTATGGTATAAACGAATTTGTTATACTTTCAATGCACACTTATCACCAGCACAGTGACTTGGGGTCACATATAACCATTACCATCGGATTCGGCGTGAAAAATAAGCCATAAAAAATGTGTCGCACGCCCATGTAGCAGAAATTGAAAACCGTGACCTTTCGTGACCTGACCTGACCTTGACCCGTACTTAGTATGACCCCTATACGCACATGGTACCTTCACTAGACCTTTGAGGTCATTTTTGGTGAGTTTCGAGCAGCAGCTATCGATTCCGCTGTCCGTAAGCCTAATCATGCAAAACCCCTGAATTTGACCTTTGACCTGACCTTGACCCGGAAGTTGACCTCAATCTTAAAATCTTAAGAGTGCTTTGGGAAGGTCTCGTAGAGACCTTTCGAACGCCGCCTCGCGGGGCTCGATACGACCATTGGTTCTCGAGATAACAGGGGGGGGGTCGGATCCGACCCCCCCCCCCAGGCTGTCGTGGGTACGGAAATAGCCCAGGCGGTGCCGGGTTAACCACCAACTTGAAAATTTGACCTCACTTGACCTGACTAGTGATGTCAATTACGAAAAATCGGAATACCGATACAAAACCAAATACCAACCAAAACTACGGGAACATACCGAAACCAAACCAACTTTGGAAAATGAGGGAAATACGAACTTTTTACCGATTTCTTAGCCTCTTATACATTAGTGAGGGTTTATGATACCGACAAAATACCAAACATATTACGATTGAAATACCAAATACCAAGTTGGTATCGGTTTGGCATCGGTATACCAAAAAAGTTGGTATCCGATTGACATCTCTAGACCTGACCTTGACCTGACCACGACCTGAAATTCATCCAGATGTGGTCCATATCACTTATTGAGAGTGCCTATTGAATTCTATGAATAAAATGGCCCATAAAACATGTGTCACACATGTTCTTTTTATATTTTGTTTTTGGTGACCTGACCTGACCTTGACCTTGACCTTTGATTGATATTGTATGCACCGAATATTGTCTTTGTAGCCTGAGAACACGTTTTGAGCAATCAGTCTCAGTCCATTCTTCGACAACTACGGTGCAAGGCCGATACTGTAGAAACTTGCATTTGGTACCCTTTTTAAGACGCATGGTCTAGTTCTGTTCTCTCTACAATCGAACACTTTATACTGATACTGTAATTAAAAGTAAGATATATAACGCACATAGATTAATGACTTATTCTCCTTTGCCAAATCTGATACCTATGCGATTAGCAAAAAGTAGCTGCATGTCCTTTATCGGTGGCACACACCTGAATAATGATGATTTTAACCCGCGCCCTGGTGGGGTCTGTTTATAACGCGACCTGGTGGGGGGGGCTATTTTTTGATCCCCTCGTATCTCCGAAACTACTGGACGGATCCGCGAAATTCAAACGGCGTTCGAAAGGCCTGTCGAATTTGTCGAAGGAAACCAAATTTCATTGACCTAGGGGTCACCGATGACGTCACAGGTCAGGTCAAAGATGAAATGTTTCACCGTTCACGGGTCATCTAGGGAATGCGCTATAACACCGAAGAAAACACATTTTGTCGAGAATCAGCGATAGGGCGTCAGTTGCCTAGTACATATGTTGCTATAAGAGGTCACTGACATTACCAGGTCAGGTAACAGGTCAGGTCACCAAGGGTCACAGGTCAGGTCACATGAACCTAACTTTAGGTACTAAGGTTGTGCGATGCATGTTTTATGGCCAATTTTTCATTTCCAACTCAATGGTGTTGGTTATAAGACTATCAGGTACGGCTTAGGTCACTTTCTGGTGAAGGTCAGGTCAAGGTCAGGTAAAAAAAGGTCAAATTTTAAACATCATAGTTTTGCACTAAATGGGTATTGATTCGATGCAGCTCGTCACGGGGAGTCTAATGGTGGTCTTTGTTTTGCGCTACGGGGTCTAGAATTGCTAGAAATTGAGTTTGAAAATTTGACGTCATCAATTTTGAACCGTTTTTTCGCTATAACTTCGCAAAAAAAGAGGTATCAAGCTCAAATTTGGTATGTGGATAGAAGGCGGTAAGGACTATCACATGTATGTCGTTTTTGCGAAATTCAAAAAACTTTTTGGATTTTTCGGCTATTATATTCAAAAAATATACTTTATGATTTTGGGGGTCAAAATCCATAAATTTCAAAAATCCGAGATAGCAGTTTTGTAGCCCTGTCAATTCTACAGCTTTTATGTCTTATCGTTTTTTTCTGTATTTGCAAAGCTATAGGCCTGACAGCTCTTTCCGCGAAACCCTTTTTTGGGTCGAAAACGGCAGAACATGACGTCACTCTGACGTCATTTCCGGCTAACCTATCATAGCCTTTGGAATTTTTTTTTGACACAATGTGTAAAATTGATGTCCAGGAGGGTACTGAAAATTTGGTGACGATCGGCGCAGCGGTTCTGGAGATATATCGAAAAGTCTGGAGGGGGGCAAAAAATAGCCCCCCACCAGGGCGCGGGTTAAGCTGATGTTCATACAAACGTACTTATAGGACGAATACAAAGTGTATTCAGACCTCAAGCCACAGGCCAGCTTTCCTTATATCGGAAGATCAGACACATTTTTAGCCAATGACACTTCTCGCTACAGCGGGGCATACATGTAATGACGCCTGAAATCTAGTCAGGTCCCATAAACGGGCCAATTTAACGGTGCGTTTCGCCGGAATCTTCTACCCCGATAGCGCAGGAGCGAGGGCCCCTCATTTCATGCGATAGTCACCGAGAACGGACGTCGAGCGAGGCTGTCGCTTGGAGTCGTCATGCACAGCACCGAAATCCCTGGACTTTAATGTGATTGTTCAAAATTTGCCGGAACCATTTACAAACAGCCCGGGCTGCCCATCTAACTGCGGTCAGAAATAGCACAGTTGTATACAGAGCGACTCATTCATGGTGGATGGAGATCTTCTCCAAGTCATGCAGCAGAGTACCAGAGTACCAGAGACTACTATAGTAGTCTCTATAGAGCATCGGGGATGGCCAATGACACCCCTCAGGGACGGCCACAGACACATTTAGGGACGGCCACAGACACCCCTCAGAGGCGGCCGCTGCTGTGCCATCCAGCGCGGTACCTACGTTGATTTGACCGGCCGATGACCTGGCGGCGGGCCCGGCGGCTGTCGACCGGAGCAGGTCAGAGCCGGACGCTGTGGCCGGCGACACGGTGTGGCCGGAGCCCGGGGTTCTGTGTATCTGGACCGGCGCCACGCGGCGGGGGATCTGGCTCCTGCTACAGGTCCCATCTCGCATCAACAGAAACACGGACCGAGAAACAGACTGGGAATTCAGCCACACCAAGAATAAATGAACCCAGCCGGCAGAGTGAAACGTCCCAGATAAACTGTTAGGAGCTTGAGAAGCATAAGCCACTGCACGACGAAACAACGACAGTTGGGTGAGCGCTGTGTGTTGGGAGTGGCACACTTACCGACGGTGAGGATTTTGGACCGCTTGGCTCCGCAGAGAATCTCTCTGTAGCTCTGCCGGAACGTCGAGCTCCTGGCTCCGTATATGATGGGGTTGAGCACTGAGCTAAGATACAGGAACCAGTACGACTGAAACCACAAAGTTACGCTGTGAGCGCGGTCATGGCACGGACCCGCTGTTTTGGAATATGGACATATTCTGAAGAACAAAAATCAGCACAACACAGCAACTGTTTTCCGCGCTCAGCATTTCTATTACTTTTTAATGTAATCACCTCCTCGGCCGAGGAGAGGGGCAGTGCCAACCTTGACATTTCCATTTCACGATTCCTTAAAAATGTGATACAAATAGCTGACATTTTAAATATCGAAGGCCAGGCTTACTTTTACCTTCTTCCACACAACTCAAGCTAAATTAGGGGAGAAAGGACACGGATGCTCCCCTTCCCTCGGCCTGATATTAGGTATTGACTAGGTATATAGCGTAGTTTGCGTTGACATTACAATGTGATAGGTTGACACCTATATTGACGGCATGTATAAAATCGATAGGTCTTGTGAGGGTTAATTGTAGACACTAATTAAGGCGAAAGCTACCAACACTGTTGATGGCCTGCAAGAGGGACGCTCATTTTCGCAAATTGGGTAGATAATTACACCATCCATTGATGGGCGCCGCGGGACGTCTCCTATTCCGCTCCCCTACCCAGGCAGCCGATAAACTGGCGCCTAGGTGGCCGGCTGCCGCCCAGGTAGGCACATTGTCCGTAAATGAAATGATCATTGATCACACGGAGACATGCGTTGCTCCATTCTTTACATTCCGTCGCTCACTGACTTTATTATCCACACAGTGTGGTAGAAAAAGGCAAAATCAAGTACTTTGGCGAAGCACGATCTTACGTTTATCATAAAAACCTTATATGATTATTGATTAGTTTGGTTAACAATGGGCTCATGATAAGATTCTGAACATCACGCGACTTCGCTTTATGAATTAGGGTCCAAGTGACTGATAGCACAGTTGTCGAGCTATCATTGGCTTGTTGTGTTGAAAAATACCTTTCATGCAGTGAGACATCGCTCACAGCTATCAGCACTCCTTCCCGCAGGGCCCGTCCCCCGTCAGGTCCTCCCGCAGCGTCCCGTCCCCCGTCAGCCCCTCCCGCAGCGTCCCATCCCACAGTGATGCAAATGGGGTCCACGATTGGCCATAAATACCGAAAAGGCCCAAATTTCAAGTTCGCCTAATCGAATAAATCGTAATATGGCCAGTAAGGCAAATGTTTGGGGTGTCTGAAAAAAAGTAGCGCCGATCAGCCCTGTGCTAGCGCCTTAATTCTTTCACAGTGCGGCTCAGAAATGATTAGGGAATGCTATGGTATAGTGTACTAATGGGCACACACTGTGTAAACTGCTGTAGGTGAAACGAAAGCAAATATTTTTAGTAAAAAAATGCGATTGCAACATGATGACAAATAGATCAACGCCAAACCAAAAATAGATACTTTTTTACCCTGCATTAGAAGCAGCAGACTTTGGGGATCATTGCCATGTATAATTTTTGCCATTTGTACGAAATGAACGTACGCTAGCGGCGTTTGAACTTGCGAGTATCTGACAGTCATTTTACGACATAGAAAATGTCACGACTTCTGACAATCATACACGAGGCCGGTTTTGACAAAAATATGAAAATCATGTTTTTTTCAGACAGACACCTCAAACATTTGCCTTACTGGCCACATTACGATTTATTCGATTAGGCGAACTTGAAATTTGGGCCTTTTCGGTATTTATGGCCACTCGTGGACCCCATTTGCATCACTGTGGGATGGGACGCTGCGGGAGGGGCTGACGGGGGACGGGACGCTGCGGGAGGACCTGACGGGGGACGGGCCCTGCGCTAACTAATTTTGGCGCTAACTAATTTTGAGATTTAAGTTTTCATTAGGTATTTGTACGTGCCAAACTCTACCATTGACGTGCTATTTTGGGAAAGCCTGCCAATGGGCTTTTGGTAGTCCTTGTTTAAAACGACCTCCAACGCCACTGTTTTCATTACATCCGTGAAATTTTATGCTCGGTATGATAAAAACGTCCCTTTAATCTCTATGCTAAGTTGCATCGTACTATAGCTTGCTTCACATTTGATATGCAGCCATTCAAAGTTTGTGTCAATTTTTAGTGAGCACCCATGATGACAGATAATTAGATCACCGCCAACCCAAAAGAGATACGGATTTTTTTGACCCAGGATCAGAAGCAACAGGCTTTAGGGATCACTGCCATGTATAATTTTTGTAGTTTGTATTAAATGAACGCACGCTAGCTGCGTTTGAACTTGCAAGTATCTGACAGTCATTTTACGACATAGAAAATGTCACCACTTCTGACAATCATACACGAGGCTGGTTTTGACAAAAACATGAAAGCTATGTGATTTCAGATGCACCAAACATTTCTTTGGTTAGTCATATCGCGATTTACTCGGTTTGGTAAACTTGACTTTTTGGTATTTATGGCCACTCGTGAACCTCATTTGCATCACTGTGCATCCCCCGTCAGCCTCCTCCCGCAGGGCCCGTCCCCCGTCAGCCCCTCCGGCGCGGCGCGCCACTCACGATCGGGTTGAGGATGAGCGGCACGCGGCTGGAGCCGCCGCGGGACACGGCCAGCAGGTTTGAGTAGACCATGTAGGGCGCCATGCAGAGCAGGAAGCAGGCCAGCACCAGGCACAGGGTGACGGCGATCCGCTGCTGCTGCAGCACGCTGCTCCGCTGCGCCATGTTCGAGTTCTCGCGCATCCTGCGGGCGGACGGCGCGACCGCCACGGACACGTCAACCGCCGTCACACAGGCGCCGCACTGACCATCATCCAATCGGGCTTCAAACTCAACTGACTGTATACATGTTGACGGCCAGCAGCTGCTATCACATCACCCAGGCACCTGCAATATTACCTAATGGGGTATTGCGGCTTATGACAGGAGTCTTCCCGCTAATCTATTGCAATATCTTACTGGACTCGCGGATGCAATATCAATGAGCATGTCCAGCTCATTATGTGAGCAATTCACGATAGATTGTGTTAAAATCCACAGACCAGGGCGTGCCACTGCCAACATCATATCGTCTTGGCGTAATTCCACACAAACACTTCATGCTCTTTCAAAGCTTTCGGAACAAACATCAGTTTACTTGCGCTCTCCGAAATTAGTAGCAATATCTCATTGTGTCAAAAACGTTCGTCATCCCTAATGTAATTGCATCGTCCTGTCACTCTTGGTCTGCGCACTGACTACTCCTGGTAGCCGACGCCGTGCCGGGGAGTGTTTGGACACCCACATGTTGTTTTACGCAGATATCTCAAATACAAAAACGCGGAACGCCGCCGGTTTTCGATTAGCTGTCCCGTCCCCGCATCTTTTCCGCACATGTTTTTTTTTTAATTATAGAACCAGATCGGTGAAGGTCGGGTCACCAGGTCACGTCAAGTGACCTCACCTCATAAAAAGTTAAAATACTCGTCATAGCTACACCACCCGAACAATTGCCTTAACCCGGCAGGTGGTGGGCCTCCCAGCCACCTTCCGCGCGGTGGGGGGGGGCATTTTTTTGCCCCCCTCGTATCTCCGAAACTCCTGGACGGATCCGAATAATTCAAACGGCGTTCGATAGCCCTGTCAAATTTGTTGTAAGAAACCAAATTTCATTGACCTCGGGGTCACCGATGACGTCACAGGTCAGGTCAAAGATAAAATGTTTCACCGTTCACGGGGCTTCTAGGGAAAGCGCTATATGACGTCATTAGCGGCCAACCTATCATAGCCTTTGGAAAAAAAAAATTTGGTCACCATGTGCGCTGCTACTCCGGGGAGGGTACTGAAAATTTGGTGACGATCGGCGCAGCGGTTCTCGAGATATATCGAAAAAACTAAAGGGGGCAAAAAATGCCCCCCCCTCCACCGCCTGGAAGGTTAAACCTTTCAGCAACTGATAACAGTAACATTATCTACGAAATGTATATCTACAAATTTTGATATCGGGGACCTAAGGCTAGGCCAATTTTGCGACATCTCCAATTTGTCAATGGGAGAAAATTGAAAGGCATCTGTTTAACCTAACCTAGCCATTCTAGACATCCTTAATTAACCCGCGCCCCGTAGGGCTACCGGCGGACCCTGCCACCCGTAGGGAGGGGGGGGGGGGCGTTTCGGCCCCCCCCCCTAAGACCTCGGAAATTTACCGGCCGATTTTCAAAATTCAAACGGCGTTTGATAGCCCCACCCGGGAACTACCTTGTGACCAAATTTCATTGACCTAGGTCAAACCGATGACGTCACAGGTCAGGTCAAAGGTCAGATTTTCACCGTTCACAGGCATTTCAAGAAATGTGTTGTGAAATCGAGTAAATTAGTAATTCATTGAAAACCATCGATGGTACAATGTTCGTCAAACACATACTTTGCTATCTGAGGTCACTGATACCAGGTCAGGTCACAGCGAGGTCAGGTCACCTGGGTCACAATATGAAAGTGTCGTGTGATACATGTTTTATGGCCCATTTTACATGACAAATGCGATTATGTGGGTTAGGCAGCCTTTGGGGCCAGCCTAGGTCACGTTTTGGTGAAGGTCAGGTCAAGGTCAGGTCAATTTAGGTCAAATTTCAAAGTTGATATTTTTGCATAAAATGGGTACGATTCGATGCAGCTCGTCACGGGGAGTCTAATGGTGGTCTTTGTTTTGCTCTACGAGGTCTAGAATTGCCAAAAATTGAGTTTGAAAATTTTGACGTCATCATTTTTGAACAGTTTTTTCGCTATAACTTGGCCAAAAAACGAGGTTCGATCTGAAATTTGGTATGTAGATAGAAGACGGTAGGTACTATCACATATATTCCGTTTTTTCGAAAATCAAAAAACTTTTTGGATTTTTCGGCTAATATATAAAAAAAAATGCTTTTTTGATTTTTGGGGGTCAAAACTCAGAAATTTCAAAAATCCGAGATAGCAATTTTGTAGCCCTGTCAATCGTACACCTTTTATGTCTTGATCGTTTTTCTGTATCTTCAAAGCTGTAGGCCTGACAGGTCTTCTCGCGAAGGTCTTTTTTCGGTCGAAAATGACAGAACATGACGTCATTCTGACGTCATTTGTGGCCAACCTATCGTAGCCACTGGAAAAAAATGGTCACAATGTGTAAAATGTATGCCCGGAGGGGTCCTGAAAGTTTGGTGGCGATATCTCCAGCCGTTTACGAGATATCGACCGAAAAGGACAGGGGGGGCCGTTTCGCCCCCCCCTACGGGGCGCGGGTCATCGGGAATGATGCAGGTAAACTTGACACACTGAATAGGAAAACAGCACCTGTGACCCCTCCGACTCCTCTTCCACCTAAGTCCTCGAGGTCATCTCAGGTCATGAAATGTCCCGGCAGTTTTTTTAATAACTTTTGATAGGGACTCGCTAGAACGATGAAAACGACTTAGGTGTGTTCAGGTTGACAATTTGATATGCTGATAAGCAGAATGGCCTTTTCCGGTAAGGTCAACTTATACCTATTTCATTTGATGCGCCTCGACTAGACGATCACGATGCTGAAAAAATAGTATGTGTCTTTTTTTGTCAACAATTATTAAAAATAACATTTCTCTTAACCCTCGCCCTGGCAGGGTTGATGCAACCCCCCCCTTAAGGTTTTTCAAACATAGTGTAAAAACGGCGGCGCGCAGCGTGACACAGCCTGCGGGGCAACCTCTTTACATGACTTGAAAATTTCAGGTCCGGGTGACTTTGGGTCAGGTCACCAGGTTAGAAAAAACGGTACAAGGTCATGGTCAAATTTCAATTTTCTTTATGCACCTGTCCAACTCACAATTTTTGACTGATTTCCTTCAAACTTGCAGGATGTGCTAAGTTCACCGAGTTGTATAACATATAGTTCGTTTTTTTATGTCACTGACCTGAGGTCAGTTAGAGCCGAGGTCATTACGCCGTAATGTTAAGCCTATGGGAAAATATTCAATTCGGTAAGTAGGTACTGGAGATATCCGCTTCGTCCTATCACGTTTGTGCTTTGAAACCACAGTAACTAACAGCATGTCACTTGGTGCTTCCTTATTTGGTGTACTTATCCATAGGTCAGGTCAAATGAGGTCAACTGAGGTCAAATGACGTTTTTGCCAATAACTTGGCACACAATGACAATAAAGCTTAAAAATGGTGTCATTGTGCTCCTGGGGATTAGCCGAATCGAATGATATGCAATATGATGCAATTTGGTCAACTCGAACTTAATTAATTAATTAAAGTTTACTTAATAATTAAGAAAATTGTTAAGCACACTTAAGCAAGCATAAACTATATCATTCGACGCGCCTTGACGTGCTGAATTCACTGGTGCTTTGGTGCTATGGAGAGCCCCCCCCCCCCAGTAGGGCGTGTTATACGCAGACCCCAGTGCACAGTGGGGATTTTTCCGATCTAGCACGTATTTATTCGTAGAGGGCAAACCATAGGTAGAATTGTAGCCAGATTGTGCACAGATGTTGGCTGGTGTGTCCTGGTGAGAATTTTACCTGTAAATGTGCATAATCAACATAGTATAGGGGGTTCAATTGGACCCCCCGCTCAGCTGTTTGGCCCCTGATCAAGCTAGAGCTTCGCGGAAAAATCAAGCGTGATGCCTATGACGAAATTAGGCCGAATATATCCAATTTCAAAGTCCAAGGTCATAAGCTGACTTTCCAAGTCAGTTTAATGACCCAACTAAAGTTGGGAAATCGAGACCTCTTAAAACTTCGCAAAGTTAGGGTGTTACGGGGTATTTTGGGGTGCTGATCACGAATTTCATGTTAGTTTTGATCACAGACGATGTCTTTATGCATTTAGGCCAGGTCGGGTCAGGTCAGGTTAGATCAATTAGTAGGCGTCCTGCCGGCCATCCATAGAAGTGTCACCTACTACTGATAGCTTCGTAACATGGAACGAAGGCACTAGAACTACTTCGTAAATATTCAAATGGCTGCTAAAATCGAAATCAGCACCAAAAACTACCCTAGCAACAAGTAAAACTCGAGAAAGTGAACCAAGGTCATCAAAAGGTCAATGACCTTGACTTGACCTTCACGTGACCCTGACACCCACCATTATGCATGGCACCAACATCATTTCACATATTTGAACGTTTAAAACCACAAAAAGACTGGAAACGGCGGATAATGTGAGCTGGCATACGCCGAATCGCGATTCCGGCCAAACATGGTCTCGAGAAATATGCCACAGGTCAAAGGTCAGTTGGTTCAGAGTCATGAAATTTTTAGGTTAGATGTAAAATTGATGATCTCGAGGGTACCGAAAGTTTCGGCGCGATCGGCCGCTTTTTGCGCGAGTAATTTGCGGAAAACCATGGGGTTTTATCCGACCCCTTCCCCCTCCCCCTCCCCACAAGTGCGATGGTTAATAAGGTTACGGTATGTATAATTTACGCTTGTCATCCTATTCCTAATGAATGTGTCTCAGAAAATATGCATCATATAAATCACGAAGTAAAATTATTCGCCTATGTCCGGAACATACCTATATCGTGCTGTTTGCCCTAGCGCTCCTCGAGTGGGGTGTTAAGATACTCTAATGTGAATATTCCGTGTTCAGGCAAGTTTCGGCAGCCAAACTAGGCGTTGTCTTGTGCAGAAGAAAGTGGCGAATTCGATAGGATATATTTCGGAGTGGAAAAGTGTGGAGAACATTGTTGATTTCCTACATTTATTTAGAATACCATTCCTTCAATATGGTGTCTGTAAGGGTTTTTTGTAAAGGGCATTTTTGTGACCTTAGTAAGGTTGTGGCATACTTTCTGTTTGCCATTCCATTCCTAATAAAGGTGCCTTTCAGACGATATGCAACTTTAAGACCTCGCAAGATTAAAACCAACAGGACAGGACAATGAAATTGAGCTATACTTTCGGGCCTTGCTGAGCCCATTGAGTAATCACACATGAGTGTGAACTTTGGGCGCATTTTTCCTAGTTTTGCTGTGGACATACAGATAAAACAATGCCATATATGAAAAATTCAGACATTTCTTAGCCCTACTGACACAAAAAATAAACCAAAATCCAAAAAATACTTTTTGAATTAATAGGCGCTAGATCGGAAAAATCCCCACTGTGCAGTGGGGCGCGGGATAAGGAAAAAAACGACGAGCAGCTTTGGCCTCCTGTCATCGCTCCGTATGGGTGTAAAATACATCTTAACCCTATTCCGGGCGGGTGGGGGGGAGGCCTTTAAGTACACCCTTCAGGTTTTTCTTGTGCCATTGCCAAACGCCGCAAGACTGAAAGCTCATACTTGGTGACTTCCTAAACATTCATTGCGCACATTTTGATAAAAAAAAAGTTGCCGGGTCAGGTCAGGTCAGGTCACCAGAGGCGGTTTGGTGACCCCACCTCATAAAAGTTTGCAATCATGCCAGAGCTAGTTTTTGGCGGATCAATTTCTTCTCTTCAGGTTTTAGTTAGGGTACCAGTACGTGCAATTTGTATATCTCAGAATGTTTATATCTGTGACCTGAGGTCAGGCCAGACTCATGACCTTTACATTGCAAGCCTATGGGAAAATATTGAAACGCCTCCTGCTTCGTGTAAACGAGTCGAAAACACCCAAATCTTTCAGTATTATGGAAGATTATCTCATCGGTGATGATCCTGGTGCCGCTAATTGACAGGGGCACCGGCAAAGGTCATCTGAGGTCATGTGACGTCACAAATCGTTTTTCTGTCAATAAATCACGACATGATGGTGCTAAAGACTTGTAAGTGGTACCAAACTGCTCGCCTGGTCAAGGCGCGTCGTTTGGTATGCAGCATGACCATGCCCCACAACCTCATTGATGAATCACCTGACCTTGACCTCGGGTCAAATTTCAAATTGACCTGTGAAGGTCATCGCATACTTATTTCGCATCGCCTCGACGAGAGAAACAAAAATGTTTTTGTCTCTATGTTTCTTAGTTTAAAAGTTATATAGGTAACTAATTCCAAAACATTTCATCGTTGATGACCTCTGGTGACCTCAATATTGACCTACCTGAAAGTGTTTTATGTAAAAGTTGTAGATCTTTAAACGACCTATCAAACGCCGTTTGCCGTTTGTCGCTGCGATGTGTAGTTTTTGAGATCTGAAGGGAGGCCGAAAAGGCCCCCACATGCCCAGAATCAAACCTTTCAGAGCCCGCCTGGAATACAGGGTGGACCAAAAAGGATGGAAACATTTTAAACTCGCATAAAACATGCAATACTACAAGCATGGTCTCGAAAAGTGGGTCACAGGTCAAAGGTCATTAGGGTCAGGGTCATGAAAATTTCAGGGTAGGTGTAAAATTAATTAACGCGAGGGTACTGAAAGTTTCGTCGCGATCGGCCGCTTTTTACTCGAGTTATTCGCGAAAACACTTGGGGGGGGGGGGTTGCATCAACCCCCCCCCCCCCAATTGCAATGGATTGATAGTAAAAGAGTTCGTTGCATGTCATCATTAACTATTTCATTTTCAGCAAAAAAAAATCCTCTCTCTCTCTCTCTCTCTCTCTCTCTCTCTCTCTCTCTCTCTCTCTCTCTCTCTCTCTCTCTCTCTCTCTCTCTCTCTCTCTCTCTCTCTCTCTCTCTCTCTCTCTCTCTCTCTCCTCTCTCTCTCTCTCTCTCTCTCTCTCTCTCTTTCTTCCCCTCGCCTGATTGCTGGCTGATTTTCGCATCCCTGCGAACGGGAGGTGCTGTCAGCTCTCATATTTCGTCGGTTGGCCGGGAATTGTTGAAAGCATCTCCACTGATTGGTTGAGAGCGTGAAGCTGGCAGATCCAACGAACAACACCAAGCTGGCCAGCATTCGAATAATGAAGAGAGAGAAACTTGCAGAGCGGTAGAGCCAAAACACCCGAAATTCAATCATGCCTTTGTGGCGTTAGAGAGCGACCATCCATGTCTCCCAGCGCTGCGCTGATTGCGACTGCAGCAGAGTCGACTGGCCTCGGCTCGTGTACTTCGTTCGGAGTCCGCCGATAGCCGTCACGCCTGAGGTGGCGGACTCCACGCCCGTAAGCCGCACGACAGGGCCAGTTATTTCTAGTCTTAGCTCGGTATCTGATGGTTGCCCGCCCGCCCGTTCCGAAGCCTTCCGCCAAGGCACATTTATAACCGCGGGATGTTTGAAAATTGACAATGCTATTCGTTAGAATTGTGGTTTTCAAATGAAGCAACGGGATTCTGGAGGCAGCTGGCACCAGCTGGCTACGGCCGGCGGTGAGAGAGGAGGCCGCTTTGTGCCAGGAGCTGCAGAGCGTCACATTCCGAATCCACGCTGCGAATTAAATTTGTCCATCAACACGACATTAACACGAACACCAGGCGAAGGTTAGTGTGAACAATCCAATTATGCATTCTGGTACATCACGGCACATTCCTAACAGATGCTTGCATGAGCATGTTGGCACGAATCTCGCATATAGAGGTCACAGCAAGTAAACTCAAATAAATGACAAGAGATTCAAAATATCATAGGTACCCACTGTCTGAAGAGAGATCCGCTGCTCACTGAGGCGGACGTTGTGTGGACCGACCTGCTGAGGTGAGCTCGTATTTCCTGGAAGATCCTGAAGTAGCAGAAGATCATGACGCCGAGTGGCAGGTAGAGGTTGACGAGACTGTTGATGGCGCTGTGGATCCGCTGCTGGACGGTGCTGGGGATCTCGGGACCACACTGGGTCGTCCCGCGCTTGTACACTGGAGACAGACAGCGAGCGCGGATCAGCAGACACACAATAGCCGTTTTCACGACGGCCATCTGCAAAACACATTTGGTGCAGGTAAGGTGCAGATTTGGTGCAGATTTGGTAAAGTTGCGTTTATTTGTGCATCCTAAAATTTGTCAGCTTGAGTAGCACAGATGCTTAAAAACCTCATTTTTTCTATAGGTATCAGGCATAATTTTCGATTTTAACCCTCGCTGGCAGAGGGAGGTTGATGCACCCTTTAGAGTTTTTTCGCATATAAGTCGTGTAAAAAGCAGTTGATCGCAACAAAACTTTCAGTACTCCCACGTTAATGAATTTTAAACCTACCCTGAAAATTTCATGACCCTGACCTAAATGACCTTTGACCTGTGACCTAATTTTCGAGACCATGTTTGGCCGGAATCGCGATTCGGCGCAGTTCGACTCGCATTAGCCGCGCGTTTGCAGTCTGTTCGTGGTTTCAAGCGCTCAAATATGTGATATGAAGCTGGTCCCATGCATTAGGGTGGGTTTCAAGGTCACTTGAAGGTCAGGTCAGGCCATTGACCTTTGATGACCTCGGGTCATATTTTCGAGTTAACATGTTTCTAGACCAGTTTTTTGAGCTGAATTCGAATTTAGCAACCCTTTGAACATACAGGGTGATCCAAAAAAATTGGAACCCCTAACATAAAATGTCTGTAAGTCAGAAAATTTTCACTTTATTGATAAATTGCAAACACCATTAGAAAGAGCGTTCAATTCTCTATAAAACCACGTTGATTGTACTTACTTATTGTTATAAATATTGCCCTAGACATATGCCTATAAAATTTGTGTCACGAAACTCAGTGAAACGGTTTTGAAACATTATGCGCAAATCAGTGATTGACGGTTTGCTGTTCTGACCATGTCGCTTGTTGGAGGTTCATGAATAAAGTAGCTCATTCACGTGCTATTGTAAGGAAAGGAAAGGCTGACGGCCTGCTGGGACCAGTTGTCCCAGAGACTGCTGGGCCGCGCAGTCGAAGCCGTCCCCAAGCAACTGCAGGTCTGCGTGACGGCCCCCGGAGCTCGCGTTGAGCACATGCTGTGATGAACAGCGGAAGCTAGGACGCGTATATCTGTTCTACTGTAAGCTTCTGTGTAAACCTTTATGAAATAAAATTGAATTTGGATGTGGTGTTATTCGCAAAAAGACAACAGATAGAGTGCTAACGGATTTCAGCGCATTGTTAACATTTGGCGATTTCGTTTCACTCAGTTTTCTGACGCTCATTCCAAAAGCTAATAGTGTGCCAATGCTTTACAACATACATGCACCAATTTTATGTGATTTTATGGAAGATTTAATGCCCTTTCTAATGGTGTTCGCAATTTGTCAATAAAGTGAATACTTTCGGACTGATAGACATTTTAAGTTAGGGGTTCCAATTTTTTTGGATCACCCTGTATACATAATAATTTTGGTGCCTTCGTAATATTTTAAGAAGCTGTCAGAGGTGGTTGACACCTACTACGAATACCCTGCAGGACCCCTACTGGTTGACCTGACCTGACCTGACGGGACCCCTACTGGTTGACCTGACCTGACCTGATGGGACCTGGCCTAAATGTATGAAGATAACATCTGTGATCAAAACTAACAAGCACACCTAACGACGTTCTAACAGGTCCTGATTTTCCCGACTTTTGAGTCATTGACCTGACTTCAGAGGTCACCATTTGACCTATGAGCTTAAAACTGGGTACCGTTTGCCTCGCCTCGTGACGACCTACGCGATGTTTTTTGCGAGGCTCTAGCTCAATTAGGGGCCAAACGCGCGCTTATTGTACCCCCCCCCCCCCCCTGTGCCATCGAAGGACGCAAAATGGTCTGTGCCGGCGAGGGTTAAAACACTGGAATAAAATCATAATACGAAGGCTGTTCAAAAGATGTGGTGTATGGAAGCCAGGAGGATGGTATAATTTGGCTGCCCATTTGAAAATATGATATATCTCGAAATTGAGGACACATTTCTGCACTCTCTAAACGCTGGCAGACCGCAGATGTCGCATTCATTTTACTTTCCTGTATAGCAAACTGAAAGTGATGGAGTGACTACTCACACTTAAATTTTGACGTCTCACAGAGGTCTGCAAAGCGGCCAAATCACCCGCTGGCAGGGTCATTTGGCCGGTGGGGTGTGGAATTTTGCCGGTGTTAATTTGAGGTATGGATTTTATGTTACAGGCGAGTCAGCTTCAGCATCAGCAATGACGTGTGTCCTATACGCATTTTTATGTTGTCTCGGTATCGGACTTATACTCGATTGATTTTGACTCAGGTCTAGTCAGTGATTTTCGTGCGTGACTCAGATGCAAATCCTTTACATACACTGCTCAATTATTCACTCTAAACAATTTGATATAAACATATTTTTACAATGTAACTTATATCTAGTGAAAGGGCATTGACCGGGGGAAAATCAGTCTTTTTTTTTCTTAGTTTAGGAATAGTCGACTAATTTGACTCAAATTAATTTGCAATAACGCTGAACACCCCGAAGAACGAGACCACAATGTCAAAATTCGTTTACATCCCGAATTATACATGCTGTAGCTACATTTTTCGAACGCTGTATATGCTAATCCTACATGCTTTCGAACGGAAGTAAAAGTTACCATTTTCTAATAAAATTCACGTTTTATTGATTTTGAATATAATAATGAGGGGGGGAGAGTTTTGCAAATTTGTCCAAGGGTTAGCTCCACCAAAGGCATACGAACAGAGTCTAGAGCTATTTCATTCACTGAGTAGCAATAGACAAATGTATATATTGAGACGGGTTACACCCACCTTATGCACGTGCCACGTGCAAAACGAAAAGGTGTCAGTTTTGTAATTGTTGCATTGTTGCAACAATTACAACAATTACAATTGTTGCAACAATCGGTAACTACTTGGCCGATTGCGCTGAAAGTTGGCATGAAGGTAGGCACCCACTAGGCACTGCATATCCATGTGCCAGAGTTGGGGTGCTGCTGCACGTGCGCACGTGCAGGGGTCGTTTCCAGATCTCGAGAACGGCTGGACCCATGGCGCTCAAATTTGGTACACGGTTAGGGACCAGTTAGTAGGGTGCCGTGCACAAGTCAGTTGGGACCCATTTTGCACGTGCGCACGTGCAGGGTGCCGCTTCCAGATCTCGAGAACGGCTGGGCCGATTGTGCTCAAATCTGGCACATCGCTAGAGACCGGTTATTAACCCGCGCCCTGCTGGGGGGTGTTTGAACACCCCCTTGTGGTTTTTCGCGAATATCTAAAAAACGGCGGCGCGGAGCGCCGCCGTTTTTGGTACACCTTATTGTACATCAATTCTACACATGTTGTGAAAATTTCAGACCAAGGTCATTCAAGGTCAGGTCACCAGGTCACTTGAAGTGACCTCACCTCATAAAAAGTTTCAATGTCTGTCATAGTTACACCGAGTGACCGATCGCTTTGAAACTTTCAGCGATTGCTAAAAGCAATAGCATGTACAAACTGTATATCTCAGAATTTTGATATCGATGACCTAAGGTCAGGTCAATTTTGCGACCTCCCCATTATAAGTCAATGGGAGAAAATTGAAATGCGCCTCTTTTTGACATTATAAACACTCCCAAACACCGAAGTACAAGTGGTTTAGACACACTGCACATGAAAATGGTGTCCGTGACCCCTGTTTATGCCCTGAGGTCATCTTAGGTCACGAATGGTATCTAACAGTTTTTCGCAGATAACTTTTGATAGAGGCATGCTAGAGCGATGAAAACGCCTTTTATGTGTTCAGCTCGACGATACGGATCGACTGATATGCAACATGACCCTTTCCGGTCAGGTCATGACCTTGACCTGAGGTCATTTTTTAAGTTGACCTTTCAAGGTCAAGTTATAGTTCATTCGATGCGTCTTGACGAGAGGAACACGATGCCGGTGAAAGTAAGCTCATACAAGGGTTGGGTCAAAAGTTATTGCAGAAAAACTGTTTCCGAAAAAATCGGCTATTTTTGCAGATTTTGCCCCCTGCAGGCAAAACCGTTGAGGTTAGGTCAAATCTGAGAGAATTACTCAGAAAGGGCGTTAATAGGGCCATCGAATGCGCCTTTCCGCGGCGCTCTAGCTCTATTGGTTCCCGAGCTATGCGTTGGCTTCTTGGAAATTTTCGACATTCGACCTGGAAATCGGCGAAATTTTGCCTTCGGCAATGACCTCTGGTGACCTGACCTTTGACCTGACCAAAAAATTGACCGAAGTGATTTCGTCATTATTTTTACGCTCTTTCGAACGCCGCCTTCCGCGTATCCTTACGTGGCCCAGGAGCCGAGTTACAAGGGGGGGTGTTCAAACACCCCCCAGCAGGGCGTGGAAATCCAGGACCCCCAGCCGGGCGCGGGTTAAGGTGCCGTGCACAAGTCAGTTGGAGGTACCCCCTCGAAATTTCGTACGTGCAAGGCCCATCCTCTCGGTCGCTCCGTTAGTCGCCCCAAAAGGCGTTATACTGGTGATAATGTTTCAGTGGGGTGAGTTTTAGCTGTTCAATACAAGTACAGATACCATGGAGAAGAGTTTCGCAGGCTCCATTACTGCGCCATCCCCGGTGATAAGTGAGCCGTCGTCAGCAGCCAGGCAGGTACGCCAGAGCGGTAAGTACGTGAGAGCCGCTGACAAAGGTGGCCCGTGTGAGCCGCGGAGCCGGCGCGGCGGCGTTACCTGTGTGCGTCAGCCCCATCTGCGGGGTGAGGTTGTACCCGATGCACCACAGCCAGGCAGCCGCCATCAGAGCCAGGATCTTCTGACGCGTCATGAAGCGGCTGAACGGCCGCGTCATGCTGATGTACTTGTGGATGCTGAAACGGGGGGACGGACTTGGTGACAGAACATGGGGACTGCGACATGGTAAAAGTCAGGTTATGATCATTTTTGTTTTGGTTCAACATTTGCACGCCTCATTTTAAAAGAAAAACAGAAACTATAAAACAAAATGTGAGACATGAGAAGTTTCAATGAGACTACAATGTCAGCCCGTGGCAGTGGTCAGCCCGGTGATGCATGCACGCATACCAGTTATCTAAATGGGGCTCGATTGTGGCTATCGGCACCAACGTTTCCTGATACCGGTCAGCATGTGTATACAGTGCACAAATACCGGATGTCCCATAAGTAACGTTATCATTTATGTTAGTCATATTTCCGAAAATATGTGATGGATAGAAATAATAAAGATATCACATGGAGGGGCATTTTAGGAAATTTTATTTTGTTATAAATATGACTGAATGTATTTGTTCGTCAACCCACATTTACTGCTTTTCTGCATGGCTACCATTTCGGGTCGCGTGCATGAATCGACTTCGTTTGACTTCCTCCGCCATTCTGGGGCAATTTTCCAGTGGCATCCAGTGGCTATTGGCCTGATGGGTCAGCCAAAACGATTTACATAGAATGTGGCGACATTCACCCTTTTCTGATGCTAGGTGCTGCCTGCTTGTTTATTTATTCTGTTTTTTTAAATAAATAGCTGAAACACAATGAGGATTAAAAACTACTCACAGCCAAATGTAGCTGAACAGAGAAAGGCTTAATGGCTTTTTCATTAAAGATGCATATTGCTCTTCTCGGGGATAAAGAGGATTCTTCATGGCTCCGAGTGGAAAATAAGGACATCTTTTCCAAACGGGGCACTTGGGTCTTTTCCCGGCCGGGACAAGATAACCCGTTTTTGAGTTCATAGAATTAATAAATTTAAGAATTTATAGCAACTATAAGTGTGCAAGAAATAAAATTGTGCATGGGTCTGCCGGGAAGATGGCAAAAATTATCAGCACTCGTGCCATCTTTTCACTCGGGACTCGTGAAAAGATTCACTCAGACCTTTTCACTCGTCCTGATAATTTTTCATTTTCCCCGGCAGACACATGCATAATTATTACCAGTAAAACGCCTTTTAGGTGAAGAACGAGCGAGCGAGATAGTGAGCCCTGCACGTGCGCAAGGGCGAGAGGGTACTTCCAACGGGCTTGTGCAAAGCACCCTTCTAGCCGGTCGCTAGCGGTGTGCCAAATTTGAACGCAATCGGCCCAGCCGTTCCTGAGATCTGGAAGCGGCATTCTGCACGTGCGCACGTGCAAAAGAGGTCCAAACTGACTTCTGCACGGCACCCTACTAACTGGTCCCCAACCGTGTACCAAATTTGAGCGCAATCGGCTCAGCCGTTCTCGAGATCTGGGAGCGCCCCCTGCACGTGCGCACGTGCAGTAGCACCCTAACCGCAACACATGGGAATGCATTGCCTGGTGGGTGCCTACCTGTATGCCAAGTTTCAGCGAAATCGCCCCAGTAATTACCGAGTTATTGAAATGGGAACAAATTTGGCACCTATTCTTTTTTCACTTTGCACGTGCAGTGGGGGTCCCTCACATAGATCAAGAATATCCGACCTTTGGTAGAAGGGATGCAGCTACCCTACAAAAATTACCGCAAGACAATCGCCCAAGCGGCTGCTGAGATATGGGCCTCTCAAAATCACTACTTTTGCAAAACAGCTTGAACACCCTTGACTTTTCACGTGGCACGTGCCACGACGGTCACTGGGATGCATCAAAAGTAGTCAATTACGGGGTAGAAGGAATGGGGCTACCCAGCAAAAAAGACCGCAGGCCAATCGGTCCAGCGGTTCCTGAGATATAAGCCTCTCAAAAGCGTTACAGGCCGGGCCGGGCCGGGCCGCTCATACTGAGATTTTTCCGTTATATTGAAAAGACTCACTTCGCTCGCTGCGCTCGCTCGCTCGTAACCAGTAAAACGCCTTTTGGGCGAAGAACGAGCGAGCGAGATAGTGAGCCCTGCACGTGCGGAAGGGCGAGAGGGTACTTCCAACGGGCTTGTGCAAAGCACCGTTCTAACCGGTCGCTAGCGGTGTGCCAAATTTGAACGCAATCGGCCCAGCCGTTCCTGAGATCTGGAAGCGGCATTCTGCACGTGCGCACGTGCAAACGGGGTCCAAAATGACTTTTGCACGGTACCCTACTAAGCGGTCCCCAACCGTGTACCAAATTTGAGCGCAATCAGCCCAGCCGTTCTCAAGATCTGGAAACGCCCCCTGCACGTGCGCACGTGCAGTAGCACCCTAACCGCAACACATGGGAATGCATTGCCTGGTGGGTGCCTACCTGTATGCCAAGTTTCAGCGAAATCGCCCCAGTAATTACCGAGTTACTGAAATGGGAACAAATTTGGCACCTCTTCTTTTTGTGTTTTGCACGTGTAGTGGGGGTCACTCACATAGATCAAGAGTATCCGACCTTTGGTAGAAGGGATGCAGCTACACTATAAAAATTACCGCAAGACAATCGCTCTAGCCGCTGCTGAGATATGAGCCTCTCAAAATCACTACTTTTGCAAAACTGCTTGAACACCCTTGACTTTTCACGTGGCACGTGCCACGACGGTCACTGAGATGCATCAAAAGTAGTCAATTACAGGGTAGAAGGGATGGGGCTACCACGGGGATACCCAACAAAAAAGACCGCAGGCCAATCGGTCCAGCGCACGGTAGGCGATCGGGCCGGTCTAGCCTCGCGAAACCTCAAAGAGACTTTTTCCGAAAATTGGAAAACAACGCATACTAGTCGACAGAAAATTCATCAAAGATTACGATTAGTGCATTTGCATGGCTCAGGAGACATTTTTTCGTAGACAAAAGTGTCGTTAAAGACAGCGTTCCGTAACACTTCATAAGGGGGATAATCACAGCCGATTTTTACGCTCTTTGAATATTTTGCGGAACGATGAAATTGCTAGGTGTTGAGCATCCATTTTGCATGGAAAGTGAAATTTAGGTGTTTAGACGATTCCGCCATAGAAAGCAAGTAGACAAAATCAGTTCAAAATGTCTTATAATTAGGTTAACTTTTTATATTTTTTCTACCACTGAACATTACGTTCACTGAATTAACCCTCGCCCCGTTGGGGGGGGGCCATTTTGGCCCCCCCCTGTGGTTTTTCCTGAATAGCAAGAAAACGGCGGCGCGCAGCGCCGCTAAATTTTCAGTACCTTTCCGGGCATCAATTTGACACCTTCACACCAAATTTCAAGTCTTAGGTCACCTTAGGTCAGGAGTTATTGAGCTCAAACTGAGGTCATGTTCGAGCAAAAATGAGCAAAAAACATGCAATCTTGAAACGCTCACCAAATCTACAGTTATCAAGCAATTTCAAAGTTCTTTATATGGTCTAATAGACAAAAAGCGGCGCTACAAAACTGCTATTTCGGATTTTCAAAATTTTGGGTTTTTGACCCAAAAACTTAAAAAAAATGATTTTTTAGAAAAACTAAAAAAAAATCCAAAATTTTTCCGAATTTCGAAAAAACCGGAATATATGTGATAGCCCCTGCGCTCTTCTATATACATACCAACTTTCAGATCGATATCTCGTTTTTTGGCCAAGTTATAGCGAAAAAAACTGTTCAAAAATGATGACGTCAAATTTTTTAACTCAATTTTTAGCGATTCTAGACCTCGTACGGCAAAACAAAGACCACCATTGAACTCCCCTTGACGAGCTGCATCGATTCGATACCCATTTTATGCAAAAATATCAACTTTCAAATTTGACCTTATTTGACCTGACCTTGACCTGACCTTGACCTGACCTTGACCAAAACGTGACCTAAGCTGGCCCCAAAGGCTGCCTGACCCACATAATCGCATTTGTCATGTAAAATGGACCATAAAACATGTATCACACGACACTTTCATATTGTGACCCCCCAGTGACCTGACCTCAGTGACCTGACCTGGTATCAGTGACCTCAACTAGCAAAATATGTGTTTGAAGAACATTTCCCCATCGATGATTTTCAATGAAATGCATTTTACTCGATTTTACAACGCATTTCTTGAAATGCCTGTAAACGGTGAAAATTTGACCTTTGACCTGACCTGTGACGTCATCGGTTTGACCTAGGTCAATAAAATTGGGTCACAAGGTAGTTCCCTGATAGGGCTATCCAACACCGTTTGCCGCTTGTCGCTACGTTGCGTGGTTCTCGAGATCTTAGGGGGGGCCAAAATGGCCCCCCCCCCCCCAACGGGGCGCGTTGCTCGGCAGAGCCCAACGGGGCGCGGGTTAACCAAGCCCAGCAAAAAAAAGTTTTACGAGGATGAACTGAAAATAATGCTGCATCGCATGCACTAAGACACTATCTATTAGGGGAGCCAGTGAAAATTTGCAGCAACTTGCAGCCCTAGCATCCAGACACTTTTTTCTTCTAAGGGTTGGCCGTGGCTTGGTGCACTTGAGCACAAGTGGTAAATGCCCCAAAGGGTGTTTTCGCGATAGCTCAAAACACCCAGGCAATAGAGAGCTGCAACCTGGCATACCTGACCTTTGATGCACGCTGGATCTTGTGACACCAGCCGCACTTTCAAGTCAGGTCAGGTCACTGACCTATGACGTCATAAATGAACCTCTGCACGATCCTCAGATGTCGCAACCTTGCAACGCTCTCAGTGCCAGAGTAACTTTCACAGGGAGGTGAGACTTGCAGGACTTATTGTCCTTCAGAGGTCTTACAACTTGTATATCTCAGATTTTTCCTAAATGTCACATAAAGTCAGGTTGGTCACGTGACCTCACCTATAAGTCAATGGGGAAATATGAAAACTGTTATTTTGGCGCCAGGAATGATATTCAATTGTCTCAAATACATGGAATCGCTACTTCATGCACTCCTTGCAAGATCTGATGCTGCATTTTTGCATTGTTGACCTTGCATGACGTCATTTATGACGTCATTAGGGTCATACGAGTTTTTCGTCAATAACTCCCAATCAAATTGAACTAG